TATAAACTATTTCTTAATTATAATTTCCTTTAATTTTGTTTAACTTGTTTCAATTTAATATCCTATCGTTTCTGTGTTAGCTATTTCTTTTTCTTATGTTTTACTCATTAACGGCGATAATTAAACTTAATCATAGGATATATTTCTATAACTTACTTTTTGTGTTTTCTCAAATTTTTTCCTATTGAAATATTTAAGTAATAAAGTTTTAACACTATTGCTTTATTTAATTACATATACATTTTTGAAAAATGATCATTCTTATAAATTTCTTTTTTTTTAAATGTTGCCATATCTCTCTTTTTGCAACTAATTTATTTGTATCTTATGTAAATGTAAAATACAGTATTGATTTAATTATATACAAATTATTTTTATTAAATGATTACTATATAAAAGAAAGTGGTAATCAGAAATTTCCAAGATGTTACATAAATTAAATTACATGACCTCGTACAATCGACAAAATGTCAGGGCTACGGGTGAGTTTTATACGATAAGATATATGTTTCATATGAATATAATATATGTATATATATATATATATATATATATATATATATATATATATATATATGCGCGCAAAAACTTATTTAATATTTTCTCTACTTTCTTACATTTTATATATACTTTGTTGTTCACTTTTATCTACTTTGATACTCAATGCATCTTGCAAATACTATCGATAATACGATTTTATATTAAGTTACAATATGACTTTCTAATCGTTTTTAATCTCGTAATAAAGAATCTTCTCTGACATATAATTGCGATAAAGAAATGTTTAAAGTTTGATTCAAATTTTGCTAATACTAATATTATTCATCTTGTAAGATTGAAAATTAAATTTCACGCAATTTCGCGGAAACGTCGTTGTCGAGTAATTTCAATGTTTATTGTTTGATAGTGTACTTTTCATATAGTAATGTTTTCATATAGTTTGATCCCTCAAACTATTATTTTAACAAAATCCAGTTTGTATCGTCTTTTATTTTAAATAAGAATTATTACGATATGTGTATGTACATACATATATAGCTATAAACTCGAAAAACTTATAAATAATAAAGTTTTCGTTCAAGTAACATTTACAAAAAGATCTTTACTTTTTCACATCTTAACAAATTTCTATATTAAAATATTCTAATTTGAGGAAATCTATTTGTTATGACTTGCTAAGCAACTATTTTATACAAACTTTAAAAGTTCCGATTATCAACTAATTGTAAATGCATTTTCCAATGTTGGATTTTAATGTTCTCACATAAAATTCAAACAACACAGCGATTAGACTCTGAAATCCCTTCCAGTTTTCCATTATCAACAACACAGCGATTAGACACTGAGATATACATACATATTATGTTAAGTTATGCAAAAACACATTTTCCTGAGCTCTCTTCAGAGCGCATTGTCCGGCAAAATGCTACAATCCGTTACGTTGATTAGATTGAAGTTCCCTCGGTGACGTGTACGCCACTATAAAATATAACATGCTTCCTGCCTCAAGAGAATAAATCCATTTTACGATATTTTTTTTCTATTATATCGACAGATTATTCAATAATTTGTTTGTCATAATTTATCATTTCTTACGCAACTTTCTTTTAACTTAAAACTCTCAATTATAATAATTATTTCATTTGAATAAATATTATTGCTTGTAAATTTCTTTATGTCTACTTTCCTAGGTGCGACAAACTGTAAAAATATATATTATTAGAAAGTCTCTTCTATAAAATATGTCGTTACCAAAGGAGATAAGTATATAATGTTTATGGTATTGTGAATTATGTATGATTCTCGAAAAGAAGATTCCATAAGCGTGATCAAATGGTGAAGTAATATTTTCACCGGACAACACAAGGCCGCAAATATTTATTAAACTATTAGACTCGCGGACATTATACTATATGATTCACTCAATTAAAATTGCAAATTAAAACTATTGCACAATAAATTGTTTGATTGTAATAGACTATATTTCAAGGATCAATTTTTTAATTTTTCTCATGCAGATTAGCAAAAACAGATTATTGTTTCTCTAATGAGACGTTAATATATTGGAAATTATCGATCACTAATCGATATATTTTGTAAAATCTAGCATCGGATGAAGTAAATGCGATGTCTATATATACGGATGTACATATATGTATTGAATGCAGAAAAGGGGAGAAACTTCTCAAGCATGTTTTTGTGGAACTTTTGGATGCAAGCGAGATGCATTGAAAGAAGAAAAAACCCGGCTGACAAAATTTTACACCTCGAAGAAGAAGAAATCAAGAAATTAAGATTCCCGTCTTCTCTTTCCTCCTTTATCGACTTGGGTTACTACTAATGCAGCGAAGGTCTAAAGAAAGGTAGATAGAGGATGAAACCCGAGCAAGGTAGATAGACGCAAGCAGGTAGATAAATCGAGAAAGACGTCGTTGAAGCATGAGACATTGAGAAAGGAGGAAATAAAGGAAGAGCAGAGAGGAAAGACCCGCGTGCGTCTCTCTTCTTCGAAGAGATGAAAAAGAATCAAGAAGAAGAATTCAGGACGGAATCTATTTGACAGCGTCGCTTAGAAGTCACTGTTAGAGGCGCCTCTCTCTTTCTCTTTGCGAGCGTGGAAAATGTTAGTGTCGCAGCCGATCTCGAATTGATCTTCTGGAAAATGTGAAGATCGGACAGAGAGCAAAGGTAGAAAAAAAGCTTAAGAGAGAGAGAGAGAGCAGAAGATCGGGAGATGTCAGGGACCTTTGGAACACAAGCGTAAGAGGCCGCCATAAAACAGAACATAAAAGTCTCGTGACTCCAATCTCTATTCGCTCTCTTCTTCTCATTTTTTTTGCTCACACTCAGTATTCTACTATTATCTCATGAAATTATTTTGGTATATATTTGATATGCCAAAATGATTTTTGATAAGTTCTCGACTCATCAGCGAACCGAGCTGAGGGTTCCCGGAAGAGACCGATTTTGCTTCTCGAGTCGAGTTGGGACCTGTTGGTCCCCGTTCCATTCCATTCCGTTCTATTTTCGCCATTCAAATCGACGAGCGTCGCTCGACAGAACGGAGTAATGTTGAAAGTAATGAATATGTGAATAATAGTATGAGTATATATGTATATTAAATTTTCACAGAGCAAATATAATTTACAATTATTTACATAAAAAAAGCATCCTTATTTATTTCGTCTTCAATGTCTTCTGAATTGTGTATATTATGTATATTTATAATATGTAAATTAAAAGAGGCGATTCTATAATATATCTATTTAACAAAATAAATAGTAACTGTAATTCTGTTGAGAAGGTACAATAGTAATGCAATTTTTTATTCTGGAAGAAAGACAATGTATTATTCATACAGGTTATAGGTGCGTCTTATTAATAAACGTACCAATTATACAATTTAACAAACTTTGTATGCAATCTTTCAATTTTAATGTGGTCAAAGGTCCTCTCTATTGTATTATATTGACCCTTTCAACCACATCGATTGAAGTCAACGACTGCATGTTGATTGTAGTTTATTGTAGTAATTCAAACAGATCTTGCTCCAATTACACTGTTCAACAAAAAATGAATTTTTTTTGCAACGAGACTAGTTGTTTCTTATAGTTTTTTTTTTGAACGCTGAATACGAATTCGACTTCCAAATTGCTCTATCACGTCACGGTTTTAAGAAATTTATAATTAAAGTTGCAAAAAATGTCTGTTTCACGAACTTTGTCATATTATAGTAACAATATGTGACAAAAGCTGACTAAGTAAATACTTCGGTTGACGAGTTACAAACAGTTTTAAATTAGGTTGATTTATTCTTTTAGGTCTTTTAGGTCGCTAAATACGAACCCAATGAGAAAATTGTCAAAATGGTGGATTCAATATAAAGGATTTATAAAAATAACATTTTTTAATCTTTACATTGCCCATATTGAATACCATTTTTGATTTGATAATTTGGACGTTGATTTTATCTTCAGTGACCTAAAAGACCTTCAGTACAAGTCACAGCTAACTTCTGCAATACCCCATATTTGATTAGAGATATATCATACATCTTAACATTAATCGCGATAATTTATATTGAGGGTTGAAAGTCATAACAATATACTTTTGAAAGCAAAAAACTTCTTTATCACGTCACATATTGGAGCTATAATATAACAAAGTTCGTGAAAATAGTCATTTTTGCAACTTTAATTGCAAATTTCTTAAAATTATGACGTGATGGAGCAATTTGGAAGACAGATATGTGTTCAGTGTCTAAAAACTATAAGAAACGACTAGTTTCATTTTCAGTGATGCCATTTGATTATCACGATATAAATACTGGATATCTTTTCATATCAATGCGAAGTTATTCATTGAAGACAGATTGTGTAATTAAATAGTTTAAATATCGAAAAATTAACAATATGTAAAAATTTTATCTGTTTGATAATTTAACACTATTGCTTTGAAAAATGGAAAAATTGTAATAAATTCTTGTGAATTTTTTAATAATATTATGTTAAAGAGTTGTTATGGTGTATTTAAATATTTTATTGTCTTTAAAAAAATAAACTAATTTCTTTAAATATGTATATTTAAACTACTTTCTCTAAATATGTATATTTCTTTAAATATTTGTTATGCTTTATTATAATTATGTTTTATCATATTTATAAATCATATAAATGTAGATAAAACTTATATTTGATTAATAAGAAGCTTGAATAGATAAAATAAAATTTTATGTTCTTTTAAATTTCCAATACAATATTTTACACTTTCATTAATTAATGCTACTTGAAATATTTAAAATTAAATACGTTTATTGTAAAAATACATAACTCTATATATAATTAAAATTTAACGAAATAAATACATGTTAATACTGTATATTATACAAAAAAATTGTATAAATACAATGTTAAAAACAATTATTTCATTTTTAATTGAAAACGTGTAAAATTGTAAAATATATTAAACATTATTATACTGTATAATATCTAATCATTTAACTTCTACGATCTCGAATAAATATATTTAACAAATGTATTTTTATCGTCATCATCTGTCACATTTAACTTTAATTTTGGAAATTTGATATGATCTTCATTGATCGCAGCTAAGACTTTATCATTGTCCAGCATGGTAATATGATTACCTTCGACATAATGTACTTCTACATTTCCTTTAGTTACCTAAAAAATTATTTTTCAATTGAAACTATTGTGTAAAAGTGACCTTATAATTATTACAGCATGTAATTACATTACATAATTGTTATTTCATATAATTACTTTATGTAAGCCATAATCTTCTTGAGCAAAGTGCAGCGATTGTATAGTAGGTTTCAGAAGTGTTATCGGTGATTCAATTTTCGGTAATTGTGTAATATCATATTTATGAAGAGCAATTATTCGCTCGTAAATTGTTGTACATACAGATTTATTATATTTCGTTGATAATTTTGTGTAAGTTGGAGGAACATGAGATATGAAAATATCTAATTTTTTATCCCAATTGGAACATTTGTTTAACTCCAAAGAAGCTATAAAGATTAAATTACTTGTAACTTATGTATCAAAAAATTACTCATTTAAAAATAATACTTTTGAAAAATATACCTTTCCACTAAGTACTGGTTGTATAGTATCCATTATTCCCAAAAGAATATTATTTTCAAGTTCGCCGACCGTGTTAAAAGGTAAATGTTGATTTGCCATTGCTTTCATATGCTCAGGTGCGCCATCAATAAGCACTACACGGCCTTGGAGATTCATTTCTTCTATCTTACGTACTAATTCAATTGCAATCACTGAACCCATAGAATAACCCACTATTACAAAGTTTTGACACAATTTCTTTTGCTCAAAAGATGCTGCAAACATATATATATATATATATATATATATATATTAAAATATTAAAATAAAAATATTAAAATAATAGTATAATAATTGTATTTTGCCATTCTAATATTATGTAAGATATTATAATGTAATTAAAAATAAGATTTGTATACTTGTAAAAGGCGACCAGCGATCTCGCTTATTGAAGTACAGTTTAGGCCAATATGATACGTTCCATGTTGTAAGCATGTTGCTGGAGCTTCAATTAAATGCACTAACGAATCAAAATACTTCCACAGCCTTCTATTCCTGGTATTAAAAATATTTCGCTTCTTGCCATGTTTTTTTTTGTTGGCATGTCTATACAGACATCGGAAATCAGATCATCGTTACCTATCAAGCGAACGAGCAGTTTAATACCAGTTACATCGTTTTCATCTCGGCCACTTTTATCTTTTGACAAGTCTCTTTCTTTGAACATTTCTATAAGTTTTGCAAAACTGAGATAACGAATATCCTGAGTTGTAAGGAAAACATCGAACTCCCGTTCTAAAGTCTGTTTAATTTCTACAGCCATCATCGAATCCATGCCAAGCTCGGGCAATGGTGTGTGACGAGCAACGTTATTTAAATCTTTCAGACCTATATGTTAACATTTTGATTCGCTTTAATATACATTAATTTAATTACTTAATTAAACGATTTAATTGTTATGGCATATGACTTACCCAGAATATTAGCAACAGTTTCAACAATATTGCCTGTGCCAAAAGCATCTGAACGCTTCTCAGCTACAACCATACTCGCTACTACAGGATGCTTTTGTAACAAAAATTCTTCAAGTTTCTCGATGCAGGAAACTATTTTTTGCTGCAATGTGCCGCCTATGACCATTTCTTTATCATCATCTTGCATGTCGGCCACAAGACCGACATCGCCCACTGCGCCCCACTGAATCGCTAGTCCGTGTAAACCTTCTTGAACTCTTCTCTCGCAAATTCTTTCCATTACAGAATTTGCCATACCGTAATTGCTCTGTCCAGCATTACCTCTGCCACAGGAAACTGAAGAGAAGACAACAAAGTGTCGAAGCTGAAGACATACCTTTCTAGACAATTGATCCAAGTTTCTCGTTGCCCAAGCTTTCGCATTAAATGGCTCTTGAAATGTATTTGCAGTATGATTCTGGCAGATCTTATCATTCAATGCCACAGCAAGATTAAATATAGCATCTATTGGTGCTATCTTTTCTGCCATTCTCAATATACGTTTGCAATCATCTACGTCCGATGCGTCGACGTTCGATATAACAAATACCTTTACTCCGTAAGATTTCCACAGGTCGATTTTCATTTGTTGATATCCATTTTTTATTCCTTTACGCGAGATAAGCACAAGATTTTCGGCACCTCGAATGACCAACCAATCTGCTAATTCTAAACCGAAACCACCCAAGCCCCCAAAAATGACGTATGTCTTGTTCGCCATACAATAATAACGCGGAAGTGCTAGAATTGGTACGTTGATAGATTCATCTTCTTTATGTATTTTTATAATTATCTAAAAATTGTAATGTAATAATTCGAGTATACATATACATTGCTTATTAATGTACTGCCTCTCTTGATACGTGATATGACTTACTTTTCCTATATGCTTTCCAGCTGCCATATATCTAAATGCAGACTCAATTTCGTCTCTTTGAAATACTTTTCTGCTTATTGGTTTGATAGCTCCGCTACGAATACCTTTGTCTAGTATCTTCTGCAGTTCCATTCTATATTCGTCCGTGTACACCGTAAAAAAATTATCAAACATAACGCTATAAAATTTAATGCTCTTACAAAACACAGACAGATCTAACATATTGTTGGTCATAAAATCGAATTTGCCAATTTCCAAAAAACGTCCTCCTTTTGCGAGACAACGAATAGACGCCTGAAGTTTATCTTCGGCTAATGAATTCAGTACGATATCTACACCACGACCTTTGGTCTGTTGCAATATCATTTGCTCGAAACTGGTATCACGCGAATTTCCAATATGATCCTCTGGAATAGATGGAAAGGTTTCTCTAATAAATCGCCGTTTTTCCGGAGTGCCAACTGTAGTGAATATTTCACAGTTTTTGAAAAGCGCGAGATTAATCGCGGCCTGACCTACGGCGCCAGTACCCGAATGAATTAATATCTTATCGCCTTTTCTCATTTGTGCTTTCATATATAATCCGTAATAGCATGTTCCGTAAGCGCATGGAATTGTGGCAGCATCCTCCAGCGTCCATTCGTCGGGAATATCCCAGCTTAAATTTTTATTGGGTTCGCACATGTTTGCTATACATCTAAATAAAAAATTATTATATATTTTAAATTAAAAAAATTAATTATATACTTTATTATGCATAATTTTCAATATAATAAAAATATTTCAATTCTGCTTTTGAATAAAATCTCAATATATAGATACACTGACGAATTATACTGGTTTATTTTGATTTATTATAAAAACTAAAATTTAATTTTTTATCCAAAATATCTGTCCAAATTATTTTATCCAATTATTTAAGTTATCTAAATTATGTATTTTTCTAGTACAGCTATAAGCTTCAAATTTTTGTAAACAATTATTAGTATGCAATGACGTACCTATTTTCCAAAATTCCCATTATTCTGCGTCCAGCACTATTGATACCGACATATTCGAAACCTATCATACATTCCTCTAATCGTCCACGTGACGTATATTCATCCATAATGATTTTGGCGGTTGATATCATTACATCTTTAAAATTAATAGACGCATAAATAATGTGAACAATATTTTCATGCTGATCCAAAGCAAGCGGACCCTCGATCCAGCGAAATGAATTCAAATCACCTCGAATCTAAGGGTAACACGATTTATTGTAAAGGATTCAGTTTAAAATTTGATTAAAAAATGTAATTTTAAAAGTCTGTTATTTACCATTTGATTAACAAAAGCGTGATATGAGGGTTTGGGTGTTAAAGGTGATAACGGAAGATGTCTGTATGATCCCCATATCTGTCCCGGACGTAAAACATTTATAATTAGATCAATTTCGAGTTGCTTCGCGTACAACGGCTCGTCCAAAGAGAATTCCGGAGCTGCCTCGTCTTGAATAAGCATACCTCTTATTAATTCACCACCTGGTTCTCTCCTCAAACAATTAACAAGACCTAATAAACCACTTTCGAAATCTTTTTGCTCCACTAAAATTATTCTCGAGTTATTATTATCTTCGCTTAAGCTGGATGTTAATTGATCTAACCAAGAAATTCATAATTGTTTACATAAATAACGTGTGTCTTTCTCATCAGTTTTGTTTTCTTCTTTAAGAGTGTAATGTGCTCTTTTATCGTGCGTTTCTCAAGAACTATTTCGAAATCATATTTCTTCGCATTTAGAAGATCGCTCCTTGTAAGTGGTTGTCCCCGTGTCAATAAAATCCGCCGTTGTTTAATGCCAGCAGGATTTCCTTTAAGGTTTCACTCTTATCGTTTGATAATAGATTAAATCCTGCGATTAAGATCGCATTTTCATCCTTTGATAATTTCATGGAGTGGGAAATTGTAATTTTTGAAGGTAGAGTAATAGTATTAAAACAATCTTTTCGAATTATCAAATTGATGTTAGGTTTGATCATCGGTAGATTATCTAAGACTTCGAGAAACAATGGGGATGCTATATCTTCTGTCGTTATCTCGTCCACTTGTTCAATCAATTCCATAATTTTTACTTTTGTTATTTGATGATATTCTAAAGCGAGATGAGTCGATATGATTATACTCTCTTGTAAGGAAACTTCGGCTTTGTCACGATGCGCTATAAATCTGTACTCTTCAAGAACGGGACTCGCAGTTGGTTTCCGACGAAATATAGAAGTAGCTTTGATACCCCGAATTTCAATACCACCAGATACTATCGTATCCATATCTTTGTATACGCGTACAGGAAGCTCTGCAATATAAAATTAATTAACTTTTTTTTATTGTTTACAATATTCTATACGCCCGTATTATGTTCTAATATATTTTTTAATTTTAAAATTTCACATAGATGTATAAAATATATTAATTCAATAAAATCATTTTAGTTCGATGTATGTTTTTCGGTAAACTTACGCTTCTCTTCAGCTGTTATGTTTTTTATGCACTGTGCATGAAGCTTTGAATTAATCACTAATTTTTGTATCTCCGTAGGAACATAAAGACTTCTCATATCTATTCCCAAGATTTTTATTTGCAACATATTATCCATGAATGTTACCCAATTATTTGTCCAAGCTATATGTCCTCGTCTTCCTGTTGTCGATGAACTTTTCAATCTCGAAATAAATGGGCATATTGATATCCACGTAATCTAAGTTCTTTATAAATATCTTTAGTTTTCATCACTTCCTCTTCGTCTACAGAATTCTCTTGTAAATCTTCTTGTAAGCTTTCTTTAGCCGGATCTGACGTAATGCGCGCTCTACCAGTAACGACAGCATTACCTCCTTCAATTATTTCAAAATTTCCAGTGCCTAGATAATATATATTTAAATATATAATAATAACCACAATATTTATTTTTTATTACAAATATTATAATCATATTATAATGCTGTATCAAAGTTGTTTATGAAATATATGTAGGATATTTTCTAAACATACTTTACCTTCCTGCACCATTATCGTTAGCTCTAGTTCACTTTGCTTTGGAATATGCGTGGCTCGCAGAAACTTGACATTTTCAAATACAATAGGTATTTCATTAAACCACTGTCCCCTCAGCATACTAATCGTATCCCAAATGAAAACAAGATATCCCGTGGCCGGCAACAAGTTTCGTCCGTCGATTACGTGACCACTCATGTATTCGAAAGATTCGTCTTTCAATGTAATATTGACAACTCTTTCTCCAGAATTGATCTTTTTTTGTTTTAAAACACATTACGTACCAGTCTTCGGAATGATTCCATCTTAAATATAATAAAAAGTAATGATAAAAAATGTCTTCATCAATTAACAAATTTGAAGTTTAAAGAGAATTTGTGTTACAAAAATTATTTTACTTTTTCTTTGCATTTTTTTATATGTTTAATAAATGGTCAATATACACACTTGACTGACGGCGAAATCATTGGAGTTCCACGACTAACAGGAAATTGCACAGTCGGATACAAATTTGCTACTTGCGGTTGTAAGCCGCAGTTGTATATTCGTCCCAATCCTTGCAAAAATATTTTA